TGCAATGGTTTTGCTGGAGATGCATCAATTGATGCATGCCAGTGTATTGTTGGCCCTGCTGGCTACAGCATCGCACTGCCAGCTCACTTTCATACTGTGGTCAATTATTACCCTCAGGTCTTGGTGACAAGCAATGGGGGATCTTCAGTCCTGCTGCCTGATGAGAGGCAGCAGTTGCACAAGCACCCATGTCATGAGTTTTGCCTGTCAGCAGCTAGAGGAGCAGGGCCCCAGAACCCCCCTGAACCTATCTCCTGGACTGCTGGCAGGCTTTGTGGCCACAGCAGGGGCTAGCATCCCTGCAGTTTTCACCCTGCTGCGCCTTAACACACACAGTGTCACCCATGTCACAAGTTTTTATTGTCCGCAGCTTGAGGTGCAGTTTCCCACAAAACCCCTGGACTTATCTCCTTGAAACTTGGCAGGCTTCATGGCCTCAGCAGGGCCTAGCATGCCTGAAGCTTTGACCCTGCTGTGGCTTAACACATACATGTGACATGAGTTTTGCTTTAAGGATTTTGGGATGCAGTTTTTCCAAACCCCCTGCACCCATCTCCTTGAAACATGGCAGGCTTTGTGGCCTCAGTAGGGGCTAGCATCCCTGCAGTTTTGACCATGATGTGACTTAACACATACACTTGACACCAGTTTGGCTGTCAAGACCTTGGGGTGCAGTTTCTCCAAATCTCCTGCATTTATCTTCTTGAAACTTGTCAAGCTTTATGCCCTTAGATGGGGCTATCATTCCTGCAACTTTCATCCAAATCTGACCAGAAATGACAAAGTTATAGGCTATTTTGACCTTCCCCATTATAGCCTATGGGCAAAACGTTGAAACAGTGTCAAAACAGCAAAATGTTTTGACTTGCCTCATTTTGTTTCAAGGCTGTTTCGACCACCTGTTTCATTTCAATTTTGCTGTTTTGACCTTGAAACAGGTCGAAACAGTGTCAGAACAAAACTGGTGGCAAAATTTCACACAGCCCTACTTACAACCAGTAGAGTTCCTGTTGAATTCCACTGAAGTTGCCCACCCAGACAGTGGAGCCTAGTTCCAAGGTGAAATCATCTTATGCAGGCACTTATCGTAGCTGGCTCAGGAAAAGTAATTTAAATCTCCCTGTAACAGTATGAGTGACCCAGAACTAAGGGATGGGTTTTTGGTTCTCTTTAAAGGTATCAGAAATATTTTGGTTACGTTACCTTGGTTAAGTGCACTTTCCTTGAGAGTGACAGCTACTAGAACAGCCCTCTTGTTAGGCTAAGTTTGTCTAGGGGTCAGTATAAATTTATCTGGAGATAATGCAGCTATGGAGGTCCATATCAAACAAAATTTGGCAGGGCACAGAAATAAGCTTTATCCAATAAATTCTGTGCTTCAGAAAGACCTGTTGCAGTTCAATCATACACTTCTCAGCTAGTGTTAGAATCTATCGGTGAAATATAATGGCCTGTGTATAGATGAGGCTAGAAGACCACATTGGTTCCTTCTGTTCTTAAAAATTTAAGACGTATACCTTAAGTCCTTTTATTGAAGTGAAAATGTAAAGGTTTTCACCTGATCCTTTAGTAGGAAAGGGACTAAGGGCCTTCCCAGATTGCTTCATTTGAGCTACTGCAAGAAGGTGGCAAAGACTTAGGATATACAATACATATGCCGTCCCCCACCAAAACATGACAAGAAAACAACTCCTATAGTTCAAGTCACGGGCAGTACCAGGAAGGCTTCAGCTCAGTTGGTCACATCAGAATACTGCAAAATGATAAGCAGTAGGTTATCTAGTAGGACTGTCCAGCTGGCAGGTTGCACTGTCTTAAAGTCTATCATGATTTCTCCTCTCTACTTTTCCAATGGGCTATACATAATTATTAAACGGCCTAACTATGGTACAATTGCTGTATGTCCTTAGGCATTGGTGACCATGTCTTCCATAAAGGAGAGATCACCATTAACTCTGAATTAAGTTACTTCATTTGGTAAATTCACTAACTGGATGCTTAAGTTACTTCTATTCTAACTGAAGCATTCCTAGTATTCATGAGACCTCAGGAACATGGGGGTAGAAGAAGGAAGCTGAGTGAAAGTGAAAGGGAAGAAGAGAGACAGAGGGTGATGCAACAGAACAGTGGGGGCCAACCTTTTTGGCCAGTGCGCCACAAATTAGCCCCAGAACCTCCCTGAGTGTCCTTCTCCTCCCTGATCTGTTACTCTCTACTCTCTGCCCTGTGTGCTCCCTACCCAAATTTGCTTCTCTCCTTTCTGCTCCTCGCCCTGTGCTTCCTGCCTAGTCTGCTGCTCTTTCTGCTTCCTGTCCTATCTTCCACTGTGCTGCCTCCCCCCTCCTCACTCTACTACATGCCACACACAGAGGTTGTTTGTGCTGCCCCTGGCATGCATGTCACAGGTTGGCCACACCTGCAAAAATATGGTTATCAGCAAGGAGACAATGGGAGAATGTGGAAAAAGAAAAGGAGAATACAGCAGGTATATGACTGTGCAGAAAGGGTGAAAATGTCAGGAAAAAGATGAGTATAAGGAAGCACATATGGATCAGAACAGAGATGGAAATGTCATGGAGAACAGGGACAAAAACAGGTGGGTGAACCAGAATGACAGTTTCTACATCCCAGGGTCTAAAGAGGGGAAAATGAATAGCCAAATAAGGAAAGCAGTGTTTCTTTGTAAGTGAACATGTAAGATTCCATTTTCAAACATAAATAGTGACATCTTCACGGAAAGGTTGAATACCAGCAATCAGATAACGTGATTCTTTTTTTTCTTTTCTTTCTCAAGAATGTTATGAATGTTAAGAATGTCAAACCTCTAGGGAGAGCAATACCCCTTTCTGAAATCCCGGTTCCTTCAATACTTAAAAAGGTAAATCACTTAGTTTGATACTTTCTTATAATAAATTGCTGATAGCTGCCACACCGCTTACCTTTCCTTCTGCCAGCAGCAAAACAAACAAAAAACTGCTGTTAAAGTGAACCTCTCCACTAAATCTCCGGGGGAAACCAGAGCAGGAACACAATGCACCTGCTAGGTTTTGCATTCGTCTCAGACTGTGACTAAAGTTGTGTTCTAGAGCTTTATAAGGGGACCCAGGCCAGTTTCATCACTGTACCAACTTGTAAACTTTTCATTAAAGGATGGTTTTCCCTTAATGTAAATGCTTGGTCTAAAACCACTGAAGTCAACAGAAGTTGAACTACTGCCTTCAGTGTGGGGCAGAATGAAGCTTCTATTTAACTATTTGGATTGCAGGTTAATAGCAGCTGGCTATTATTTCCACATATGTGAATGTCCCCAACATGCTATCCTTCAGAAAAATAGAAATCAAACCTTAACCCCAGAACAGCAGTGTACCCAGAATGCTGTTATATTTCTCTGTAACCACTAATGGCTTTCATCTGCTCTGCCTCCTTTTTAACCCCAATTTTTATTTCACAGCTGCATTTGTATTCTCCAGGGTCATTAATATAAGCAATTATAGCCTGCCATCTTATAGCATTGTAATTTGGCAATAGGGCAAGAAACCAAGATTAAAAGTGAAGCCAGTAAAATATTCTTTTGCCATCAAACAGGAGATAGGATTCCATTTTCCTTTCATGATCCGAACCACAAGAGAAGCTTTCCTGCTTACTCCTTGGTTACTGTGATAATAAGCAAGCCGTACCTGAAGATGATGTTTCCTGCACGATCAGCCTTCCACGCCTTTACAAGTGCAAAATCACCTGTAATTGACTTCTCCATAATATAATGACGGCCATCAAATTCTCTCACCTGTAGGGAAAAATAATGCACTATTAAGATGCAGGTTTAATCACACAGACTAATTAGATACTGCTTACTGTATCTGATTTATTTTTCAGGCAATTCAATTTAAATTTTCTTTTGTTTCTATGTGAGTTTTTGGCTGAAAGACTGGAATTCAAGTGGATAATAGCAGAGAAGCATAAGAACGCAGCAATTTGATTTTATAGTTATTTATATCTTCCTTGGTTAGATAAATAAAACCAGAATCAAGGACTTGCTCCTGCTGCACCACCTACTGGAACTCAAGATGTATTGTTCATTGAGCACTGCACTGCAAACACAAAGTGAGACTGCTCTAGTGCTGAAATAATATGGACCAACTGCATATGCACACTGGGTAAAATTCACCCACTGAGGCCCCACACAAGGTCTATGTATCCTTTTAGGAGCAACATTTCTACATTGATGCAGAGAGTGTACCAGATGACCCCTGTAGTTCCTTCCAACCCTATGATTTAAGTCTCTTTATGAAGGTCATATTGACACCCCACCATCATGCAGACACTTTTAGACAGGGCTACTTTCAGCTCCTGTCCTCAGAACCTGTATTTCCTGTTTCTCATAGAGCTGTGTTTGTAACTAAGAAACAAACAAGAATCAATTACTTTAAAAGATCCATCAAATGTGATACATTTGTAGGCAGAAACTTTCTGCAGCTGTATTTATCAAGGCCCCAGTTCTTCAGAATTATGGCGAAGCTGCAAACAGTGGAAAAAGCTGAAGCAAAGCAGAACACTGTGGGTGCATTAAAGGTAGAAACCAAAGTCCAGCTCTGGTAAGTTTATCTCTAGATTTAATAAAACACATCTGTTTTCTCTTCAGAATTGTTTAATGATGCTCAAGGCAAAACTCTTGGAAAGAGATTAGGAAGCTAGAAGGAATAAGTCTCAGTGGAAATCATATTAATCACCAGAGGCTAGGCATTTATGCATCAGAGTATTTCTGTTTGAATTTGTCAATCACTGAGGCCCAGAAACAAAAGGTGCTGGACCTTGCTAAATCCTCAGAAGTTTGGATTATTTCAAAAGTTACCCAGGCTGAACTGTGTTGCTGTGTACACATGAAGCAAATGCAAAGATAAAAGTTTTGAACCATTTCTCAAGTATTG